CCCAATACTTCAGCAGACAGATGAAGGAATAGTAAGCCAATCCTATGATCCTCATTCTTAACACAGGGTCTTTCTGTTCTAATGTGATGTGTAGAACGCACTGCACTTCGAAGAAAACGAGCACCAAGTTACTCAGTCCGATCACGATTTTTGGTAAAAACCTGCCGATCCCCTTTAACATTGCTGGCCATATTCCGATGAAATTCAGTATCCATTTCAGGAACTTTGTCACATAAATAATATCCTTCTCGTAGTTTGGATTTCGCGGTTGATCAGTGTGATTCTGAACGGAGGGGTGCATGTTCGTGGACAGCTCGAAAATGACTGCTTACGACGACCGAGTAGCATTGATTGCAAGGTCGTCGGGCTTGCGCTTATGATATCGCGTGCGTGCATCAGTTGCAAAACTTTGAAATCGATTATTACTCATCAATGTAGCGAACATCGGGAATTATAACGAATGGATGACTGTAGGTACTATAGAGTCTAAAACTTTCTCTCTGGATCTATGTTTTTTTATTTGCTTTTTATGTCGTTCTGCAAATTTACGTTCTGCCCCTTCGTAGGAAACGAAGTATTCGAAAATTTGTATGGAAATACTGGATTAGAAATACCGCTCATTGGCAGTTCTCTGCTATCTGGACATAAGTGGACCGATCTGGAACATGAAGAGTACGATTGGGAGCCTCGTGCACGAACAAAGTATGTGTATGTGTATTGTCGTACGTGCAATACGTATTTTTTTTCTCTTTCGTTAAAACAATTGAAAAGTAATATGTATCTATGAAATAAATAGTAATAAATGTCTATAGATATATATTACTATATAAAGTAATATTTATCTATGAAATATGTGTTATGTGTTATTATTAAAAAAAACCGGAAAAATAACGATTTTACGACACACCTTTTTTTATTCATTATTCTACAATTAAATATTTAAATAACGAAATCACAACGATTATTAAATTATTCCATGAGGGTATTCCGGACGAAATTGAAGTACGCGAACGATGACTTTAAAACCTGTAAAGAGCGAAGTTACATTTAGTTACCGATACAAGATTGTATAAATTCTCAGTCGCATATTATTTTGTTTATAAATGCCTACATTTGCGAAAGTAGGCAAAGATATATGAATTATCTTTCCGGCGCTAATTTTCATCGGAGTGCTTGACATGGCGATAATTAAAACGAGGCTTCGAGTTGTCTTACTCGGTAAGCGATACCAATCGATCATGCAACATGATATTCCAATGTTAGTACTCTGCAGTAAAAGGAACAAAAAGTGAACAAAACTGACGAATTTTTATATATATTACGAAAGAAAGTAGGATATTAGATACCTTTTCTATCAGTAGATCGCCGATGTAGCACCACATGGATATGTTAAATGTCAATGATGTTAGTACCGCGGAATACGTTAACACACCGAGTTTATTATCGCGTTGCCAGTCCTACTAGAAACACGAGAATATTAAATACAAATCTAAATATAAATGTACACATAAACGTACCGTTATGCAATAGTACTCGAGCAAGCATATTATAAACGTGGTACCAACGAATTCCAAAAGGCACACTTCCTGCAGAGTCGTTTCAAACATCGCAGAAAATCTGCAATAGCGCGTGACATGTTTTTGAATAGTGATAGACAACGATTTACTTTACCTTCGTGTTTGTACTTTAAAATTTTTGTATGACGTTGTACGATTTCTATCAGCCGAGCGTCCGAATTGTAACTTTTCTTGGAAAATTTCCCTTCAACCAGATCGTCTAACTGAGACATGATGATGTCGATCTGTCCGCAGGTGTGTGTTGCGAAAAACGCAGCCAATCCACAGCAACTGCATATTACAGCGTTCATCATGATTGAGCATAAACATTGAAGAGTATACGTGATTTCGTAGACAGGACTTTGTTGGGCATTGATATGGCCGCTATACATAGGATACAATAGTACTCTGATCGTACGATTATTATCATCTATTTGCGACCCTATCGCATATTGCAGAATTGTCATGTAGAATATGTTACCACAGTACAAAAACGCAGCACAGAATACAGTCAGATCTTTTCCGATCTTCCCGTACTTTAGCATACACGTACGATCTCTTTGGAGTTCCACCTGTAGAACGTTTTTTCGATAGAAAAATTTGCATTTTGTTGAAAAAGAATTCATCAGTTCGTGTACGAAAGACTCAGTGGAAGAATGGCACAAGTGACATGATCTATACTCTAAGTATTACATTCTACATAAATTTATTCACTTTTTTCCTATCATTTTCTACCACTTTTACTTTGTAGATATTTTATTGCGAATATTAATCGTCTCATAAAATTATT